CCATATCCAGAAAAGGCAGAAATTAAGGTATTGCACATGGCTTTATTTGTATGCCAAGCTCCCAATATACAATTCAAAGTTTGGTGAGGATTGGAATAATTGTTTAATCTCTGGTAGATTGCTTAATCACAAGCTACATCCAAGGTGCCAGACATACCAAAATCATATCACAAGATTCATATACATTATCATTAGAATTGGCTTCTGGACCTCCCTGAAGGAACACAAGATTTGGTGTTGGCAAGTTACATCCAGGTTTTATGTATTTTCGAATTGATTCATTAATTTTCTCCATTCCAAAATCTTTATTATTTTCTTCATATAAAACAGAAAAAATATCTTCATATTTTTCAATCCATTCATTAGCAAACCAATCAGAAAAGATTGGTTCTGGTAATATTTGCTCACTATCATCAATAGGTGTTTCAACAGGATGTGGTAACTTATACTGGAGTGAAGTCCTAACAACAAGTCACATCAAAAATATTCTCATATGAATATGTGTGGTCTCTGATGTCAATATTATCAATGATAGCAAGATTCCAAATATTTGGACCTATTTCAAACCTAGATGCTGGTACAATACTTGATATATGTTCATTACGAACCCTATATTAATGACACTTGCTATGTGAAGCAACTTGAACTGTCTGTAAGGTTGCTTTCTGTAAAATTGAATGAAGATAGGGCAGGAGTTTGGGATTTTGACATAGGGAAGATATTATTTGTGTGAACCAGATTTTCATATGGGGAAAGGCAATTTCAAAATCACTGATGTCAAAAATGTGGTGATTTTTTTTATAAGTGAATATTTTATTTCAGTTTCAGGTAAATTAAGTTGTTTTTGACTATCTCATGTTTTTTTATATAGATTGGTGACTAGACTGTTGAAAAAGCTAGTGAGATTTTTTGGAATTGCCTCATAAATTTCATCAAGAGATTCTGGTTCTTCCAGTGGTAATTTGTTTTCTTTGATTATATTACGTGTTTGCCAAATCGAATTTGCTAAAATTTCACCATAATTTTTAAATGTTTTTGAATCCAGCTGACTGTTTTCCTCATCTTCATTCATATTAACGTTTTTTACAGCCAAAGCTATATTGAGATGGAAAAAACTTGGGATTAATAGGTTATCAGAAGATCCTATTACTGTAGAACTTGATGGTAATGTAGCTTTTGTTTCTGTTGTATTAAAATCTCCAATGGCCTTGTTTATTAGAAGATTTAATAGATTATTATTTGAGGAGGCAACATTATTAATCCACCTGGCAATAAGCCTCAAGAAAGATGTAGAATCTTCCTCATGCTTTTTTCTATCTACACAGGAAGATGTTTTTTTTTTCTGAACCTGGCTTCACATGAAGATGAGCACCATTTAATACCAAGCAATCAGTGCAAACATATTGAACACATTGAGTATTTTCTGGAATGCTAGCCAAAATTGGATGTTCTATTGTTGCTTGACAATCATGTAAACCATGACATGGAACTTGGATATTACAATTACAAACATTCCATAAATGTATTTTACAGGAATTACCCCTTGTATAAAAACACTTGTACCTGTTGCAAGAAGGCACAGTTTTTTGTGAATAGTACCATTATAAAAGGGTTGTGTTGCCTTTATATATGACTCTCCTTCTACAGGTCGGTGAAACTTATTTTGATCAAGATTCAAATGTTTTAAACATATGCCTAATTTTTCAACCTCCTTTCTAACTTCTCTTACAGCATTTGAATCTATCTCAAAGCAACAATCAAGTTGTGAATACTATGATTATTATTATCAATACAGTTGCAGCACTCAATTTTTTCTTCATTATTCTCATTATCTACAATTACACATGGTGTGACTTTGGGCTTAATTTCTTTTGGGACTTCCATATCAAATTCAGCTTCACCACTAAGATTTTCTTGCACAACTTCATTATTTTCAAGTATTTCATCATCACAATAATCATCATCTGCATTATCAATATTTGTAATTTCTCTTTGAAGTGTATCAGATCAATTGGTGTGTTTTCCATTTTGTTAAATTTTTATTGTTTAAAGCAATGGTTGGTTTTTTTTTAAGTTTTTAATTCCTTGATTAGAATATGATTTAATAATTGAATTATTGAACATTGTATTTATAAGTTTTTTAATCAAGAAAATCGTGACTTGTTTAGTATTAGTACTTTTCTTTTGCCACTAAAGCCACTTTGGTCATTTATAGCCATTTGTTTATGGTGGGTATAGTAACAATGAGATTTCTAAATATTGTAATGATTGATATTCTAAAAATAGCATTCAAAAATTAATTTTAATATAATGACTGACAATAAAAGAAAATTTTTTAACAATAGTATCACCGATTAAATTTGGGAAAGCGTATTTTAATTGGTGATAACAATTATTTTTGTTTTTGCATGGATCAGAATGAATAGGGATCAACGAATTGATTTTTTTATTAGCGAATAATTTTGGTTAAAGAAGATAAAAGTTTTAAATAAAATAGAAATATTTTATTTATTTAGTTTTATTTAGTCGAAACTAATTTATTAACTTATTACCAAGTTAATTTTTATTATGAAACTTTAAGACAATGTTATTTTAGAAGCAAGTCGAATTTGAGTGTCTTTTATACAATTAAATTAATTAGTAACAACTTCATTGCAATCTAGCATTCTAACCGCGATATCGCGACGTAACATTCTAACCGCGACGATAATTTCTAAATAAAGTCAATTAATTTCGACGTTATACGAATAAAAATACAAATAAAATAATAAAAATGTAAATAAATATGAATAAAAAATAAAATAAGAAATAAAATATAAGGAATAAATAAATGTAGATATAAAAATAAAGTAAATAAATAAAAATAGAAATAAAAGATTTGGTTCGGAATTAGAGTATTTCGACTAACAAATTAGTGTTAAATCCTAATCCTGGTAACAATAGCAACAAAAATTTATCAACATACTTCCATATTGCTATTGTCCAATTAAATTTGGGGGAGTGTGTTTTAATGGGTGATAACCATTGTTTTTGTTTTTGTATGGATCAGAATGAATAGGTTATCAACAAATTGATTTTTGGATTAGCAAATAATTTTGTTTAAAGAAGACAAAAGTGTTAAATAAAATATTTACTATTTTATTTGTTAGTTTATTTAGTTTTTCTTAGTTGAAACTAATTAACATGTTACAAAATTATTTTTACATTAGGTTGAAATTGAGTTTTTTATATACATAGAAATTCTAATATCTCAATTAAAATATCTGAAAAGTTATTTCAATATTGCAATAATATCTCAAAATTGAGATGATATTTGAAAATTGCATGGATATTTAATTGTTCATAAATGATAAAAAATAAAAAATTAGCATTAAATTTTAATTTCAGTAACATTATTTTATTAAAAATACATAGGCAACCCCGTTAAACCGAAGGCAATTGTGCAGGGACTTTTCTTCGGATTAACGGGGGTTTTTTTATAATCCGAAGTTATTATTAGAGTCATAAATTAATTCGGATAAACAGGGTAGTAAATTTAAAAATTTAGAATTTCCTTTATCCATTTATTATTAATAATAAATATAATAAATCATAATTTACGAAATCATTTAACTAAAATAGGTGTCAATTTCTGTTTGAGCCATTGACATAAAATTTCTTTCTTTAATTCTCTTTTAAATTTGTTTAATTCATGCAGGAAACTCTCACTAATACCTATTCCTCTTTCTTCTTGCATTAGAAAAAATTGGAGCCTTTCAATCGATTCCATAGCCTGATCCATAGTTATTTTATCTTCAGAAACTTGAGATTGGTTATCTTCTTCTTCAATCACTTCCTTCCCTTTAACTAGTTCAATGATTTCTTTATCAGCTAATTTATCCTGATTTTGCAATCTCAAATCTATTTCTATGTAGTCATTAGCAGATAATGGATCATCAAAATTAAAACAATCAATCATTTCTTGGATTGAATCTGTATTGTTATCAGATGGTAAAATCAAATAATCTTCAATATTTTCTGAAGAAGGAAGGATATCAACTTTAGACCAGTATGAAACAATTGTACTAGGCGAAACAAGGTTCCATGCTTCTGCAGTAAAAGAAATAGCATCAAATATTGTAAGTTTTGGTACAGGTATTTGTTGATTAATCTTATTGTCATATGTGTCAATTCTGTTTTGACATAAAATCCACTGATATTTTGATTTAAAGGAATGTATTATTCCACTGTCACAAGGCTGGAGATGGGAGGTTGTATTTGGAGGGAAATAGTGTAATGTAATATTAGAAAGAGAAATGCCTTCTTCCAATGAATGCGATGTAGCATTATCTAGCAGAAGCAAAATGTGACGTCTTGCTTTTCTCATATCTTCATTTAATTTTGTAAGCCAATGATAAAACA